GAATTGAAAATTAAAATTTTTGTAATTGAAAATTAGAAAATTAGAAAATTTATGTTTTGTTGACAAATTATGAAAACTATTTTAGGCTAATTTCACTTACACCCCATCAGGTTTGGTCATTTTTTACTCCCAAACATCTTTAAAAAATAATTATCACTTACGTCTTTTCTCGTTTTTTCGTCACATTATCCGTTAAAAATATGTAAAAAGACAATTTTGCCCCTAATTTTTTAAAAAGACAAATTTGCCCCTAAAAAGACAATCTTGCAAAATCATTTTGTGATCAATGCTGAAACAAAGGAGGGTCATTTCGTTGGAGACAACGACTGCGATGTAGAATTCGGAGCCACGAACAGGTTTATGTCTGTGTCTCTGGTGAGATTGAGTGGTGGAAAGAATGGGTGGAGAGAGAATGTATACAATTCCCTTTCAGAGCCAATGAATGAGTGGTGGAAAGAATGGGTGGAGAGAGAAACGAACAGGTTTATGTCTATGTTTACTTGGTAGAAAAAGTGCTTGCTGAGAGGCCTTTTCAATCAATCTATGGACACTCTAGTCACCTAATCCAAGCAACCGAATCCAATCTCTGGTCACTTATGCAGCAAGGACTATTAACGTTTGTCATCATTTTGGTTGGCATCTTTAAGATTCGTTCAACAATCGAATAGGTTTAGGAAAGGAAAAAGAAACTACCGGTGGTGTGGTGCTTTCGGATCGTGCCTGAGCCACGTCGCCGCCTATGTCAATTCGCAATTTGTGCAGTTTTAGGGTGGGGGTGAAGGTGGGTCTGATAGTGGTGGTTGTGGGGGTGAGGGTGTGTCCGGTGGTGCTAAGGTGGCCGGTGGTGTTGCTGGTGGACCGGTGGTGTGGCACTTCCGGATCGTGCCTAAGCTACGTCGCCGCCTCCGTCAATTCGCGATCTGCGCGGCTCTGGGGTGGGGGTGGGGGTGAGGGAGGGTCTGGTGGTGGTATGTGTGTGCATATACATATACGTGTGTGTGTATATATGTATGTGTATATATATAATTTGTAACTTTAGAGAAAAATTAGGGATATTTATTCTTTTAATCTAATTTTTTTAGGGTAAAATATTGTTTTGACAAAGTCAAAGGGTATTTAAGTCATTTTACACCATCTTAGAATTGTTGAAGTAACTGTTGGGGTGTTAGTGAAAAATGGAACAAAAGTTTGTAACTGAGTGATAGTTGTTTTCAAAAGATATTTGCGAGTATAAAATGGCCAAATCTAAGAGAGTGCGAATGAAATAAACCCAACTATTTTTTGTTATGAAAGAATGTGTTATATAATTTAAACAAGACAATTCCAACTAGTGGTAAACTTTAAAGTTGTGTTGTTCAAAAACAAACAAATAAATAAATGGGTAAAGTATAGTCACACCCCCTGAGGTTTGGCAAAAGGACACTCAGAAAAAATTTACCTATTTTTTGGACAAAGATATCCCCTCAAGGTTAAAAATGGACAAAGACACCCCTTTACATGAAAAATTTACCAAATTATCCTTTAACCGTTTAAGAGACTTTTTTTAACTTTACAATTTAATAAATTGGACTAATCTACCCTCATGAATAATTTATGCATAAAAAAAAAGTAAAAAAAAACTTTATATTGTTCATTTTTTTTTTTTTTTTTTTTTTTGTTATTTACTTTATGAATGTCCCAACTTCTAACAAATGTAGACGTCTAAAATGATTTTTTGATTCAATGCATATATTTCAAAAAAATTATATTTTGTTATTACTTCTTTTCTTTTTCTTTTTTATTTTTAAATTAATAAGCTTAATTCTTTCATCTAAAAAAATTAAACCAATCTTTTTTCCTTAAAAATAAAAAATATGGTACCAGTATAACTTTATACATCTTAAATTATATATCAAATATTATGCATTTCCAAATATAAAAGAAAATAAGTACTAGTATAACTTTATGCATCTTAACTTTATGAATGCCTTTGGTTTTTTTTTTTTATTATTATTTTTTTTCCCCTTTGTTTTATTATTATTATTTTTTTCCCTTTTATGTTGGGAAATGCATAATATTTGATATGTAATTTAAGATGCATAAAGTTATACTGGTATCATATTTTTTATTTTTAAGGAAAAAAGATTGATTTAATTTTTTTAGATGAAAGAATTAAGCATCTTAATTTAAAAATAAAAAAGAAAAAGAAAAGAAGTAATAACAAAATATATGTATTGGATCAAAAAATTATTTTAGACGTCTATATTTTTAAGAAGTTGGGACATTTATAAAGTAAATAACAAAAAAAAAAAAGGGGTGTCTTTATCTATTTTTGAATCTTCATATAAAAAAAGTCTCCTAAACGGTTAAAGGGTAATTTAGTTAATTTCTCATATAAAGGAATGTCTTTGTCTATTTTTGAATCTTCAGGGGGTATCTTTGTCCAAAAAACAGGTAAATTTCATTCGAGTGTTCTTTTACCAAATCTCAGGGGGTGTGACTGTACTTTACTCATAAATGATAAATGTGTAGGTTGATTTGTCATGGTATGTGGAATTAAAGATGTACATGTTTAGTTTTGGAAAATAATTTTTAAGAGCTCATGAAAATATTATATAACACAATTATTAAAAAAAAAAAAAACACTTAGTTTTTGAAAATTATTAATAAAACAAAAACTATTTATTGTTTATCAATTGTCAGAAAAGTGAACCAAATGACCATGTAGTTTCCTTGTCTATTTATTGTTTATGTGGGTAATTTTTTACTTCCATGTTTCCTTTTCCTTGTATCACAAGGAAATGACTTAGCAAATAAAGTGGGTTTGATATAATTTTTTATTATTATTGTTTTTTTTACGCAACACCAAAGATTGAAATTACCATAAAATATATTGATATAATTACATTATTTAAATGAGTATGTTATTATTCAAACACAAAGAAAATGGGTGATATTATTATATGGACAATACTTGCTTATTCACTGGTGAGTAGGCAATTTCTACTGACTAAGTATGTGACGCAATAAAATTATGACAAGTGTCCTAAAAATTTTAAAATATAAATATAACAAAAATAGAATCAAAACTGGTTTGACCCATTTTAATTGGATTAACATATCTTTTACCTTATCTCTATATGATATAACACAAATTTCTACTTATGTCATTGTTCGATAGTACACCATCTGATCTTATACAAATCAAAGACCTCGTACACGGTATACACTGTATCGCTATCTTTATAAATATCAGAATATGTGCCTGGGCATTACAAAAAATAATAAAAAAAGAATTGAAATCTAGCAATAGTGTTTTGAGGGGTTGGTTTTGTTTTCTATCTTCTCAAAGTGGATAATATGTGATTGATATGAAGAACCATTGCTGGAATAAAAAAATCCTTCCGGTTTGTGCTTAAAAAGAAAAAAAATAAAAAATTATTGCACTTCTCTTGTATAACTTAGGATTGCTGAAGTGAGAATGAGGATTTATTTGGAAGTGAAGGTGAATGGGAATTTTAATAACATGATTTTTGTTTGTTTATATATGTATATATATATGTATTTATATTTGTACAGATATGTTGGAACCCAAATTTTGATCTTTCGATTCCAAAAAATAAAATCTTGTTTTTGAAAGGTAATATTTTTAGGAAGCTTGAATTCTAATTTCACTATACTTTAAAAGATAATTTTGTACATATGTATGTGCAAGTGTCTGTATAAAAAGATGTTATTAATCCGTTTAAAATAGATAAAAAAACGTTTTACTTCTATTTTTATTATATTTTATATTTTATAAAATTTAAAACACTTGTCATAATTTTATTATATCACCTATTGAGTTAGCGTAATTTTATTATACCACCTAGGAGTATGTGGCTCAAAAAAACGAAAGGGCTTGAATGTGTCCATTGTTGCGGTCGCATGGAAAAATGACACGTTGAAACATTTTTGTAAGTGATCCCCACCTACCCTCGAAATGGTAGACGTGGCCTCCTTTACGGAGAAAAGAAAAACTCTAACCGCGTTCAACAGGGAGTCTACAAAAGTCCATTAAAACACACCTATGCGTGTATATTATAAGCAAGTTCCATAAAAACACACACTGTATAATATTATAAGAAATTTCCATTCACCTTCTTGAAAGATTCAATTTCTAAAATTATGTTTGGATTTAATTCAAGGGTTAGCTGAAGTGGTAAAATTGTGAGACTTAGTACATCAAGAAGTATTGAGTTTTAGATTTGAATCTTATCTAGTACGATAAATTTATTGAGAGCCACGATTGTGAATATAGTTCGAACTTTACTCAATTCGTGTGGAGGAGTCATTTTACACGAGTTTGGTAGATTAGTTTGGCAAAGTCCCAGACGCCTAAGTTATCAAAAAAATATATATATCAATTAGCTAGTGTTGCTGCATAGCTAATTTTAAAATAATTTTACTATCAAAATGCTTCTATACAACATAGTTAGAATGTTGTTTTTCAATAATATTAGCCTATGTTCGGTTATATTGAATTGGATATTTGAAATTGAAATTGGTAAACAATTTTAGTTTAAGTTTTTATAATTTTAAACTAAAATTTTGTCCAATTTCAATTCCAAAACTCCATTATTATAATGATCAAACTTAGATTTTAAATTTCCTTACAACTCCAATGGAAATTAATGAAAAGATTAGTAAGAAAATACCACACATGAAGTTTTTGCAGAAAAATATCACCTCTTTCTTGCAATACTAGTTAAATAAAATCTATAATATTATTTAATCGAACATGCAATGACTTAAAAAAAACAAGGTTAACAACTTCACTGAAGTATGTTCAACTCTTAAAAAAAAAAAGAAAAAAAGAAAAAGGGTTTCAAGAGATACAGAGTCAATGCAAACATTTCCTTTTCACATTAGGGGAAATAGTAGGGTCCAGTATCTACGTCATTACGCGCGCAATACTACTACGCAAGTAGCCCACTTGTATGAAATCTACTAGTATATAAACTACCATGGTCGATCGGGAAACCGCAGACGTTCTTTTCTCATCTCTCTTACTATAAATATTGTGTTCAGATAACAATTCAAAGCTATTCCATTCCCTTTTAAATTTCCAGTAGAATAGAGAGAATGAGTGAGCAATTCAAGGGTTCGCCGTACCGGCATGATCAAAATGACATTGAGACCGGAGGCAGCCGCTCCGGCGAACTCGACTCTGAGGTTTCCTCTGGTCCATTCGACATCTTCACCACCAAGAATGCTTCACTTGATAGTCTCAAAAGATGGAGAGTATGTTTAATTTCTCTACAAATTTTATTTTATTTTTTTATTACAAAAATATTTCAAGAAACGCGCACGATCACCTAAATATATTTGTGTGTGTATATATATACATATAGCTTTTTTTGGGTGTCTATATAAATGGCTGCTTTTGCGATTTATATTATTTTAAATTTACATGTAGAATTGTAGATTGTAGACTGTAGTGTAGAGTAGAGTAGGGTAGAGTGGAGTGGATAGAGTGTTTAAAGTAAAAGTGCATGAAAAATGAATATACTAGCATAGTAGAATTTATGTGTATGTACGGGGTGTACGGGGGCTCGCATTGGGATCCAGATCTGTACACCCCCAAAACGACGTGGTTGGGTGGATATCACGATGAACAGATTCGTCTGCACAACCTCTTCTTTCTGCTTTAATCTAATTTATTGGTTCTGTTTTTTCGGAAATTTTTATTGGTCATTTCAATGGCCATATTCGTATGCTTAACGTTTTTTAATTATAAATAAAATATCCAAGCCATTGCTGCACATCTTCTCTTCTCCGCCGCCGCAACCTCGCCGTCCTCCAACGCCTCGCGCACGTGCCGCCGGGCGAGAATCCGTTGAGACACGTGTCCTGGTTCGTCATGGCGGCTCTCAGAAAAGCGATTTCTTGTTAGGATATTCATTGAGATGGTTAATGGCCTTTTGAAGATCGTCGACGGTTTCATCAATTGTCTCGAGACAATCGTTTCGCGGAGGTTCATCAAAGTATGAGCTTCTCTATTCTGAAGAAGAAGTGCTCCACGGCGGTGATGGTGAGGTTCTGCGACACGATAATGATGTTTTGGGACTACACTTTCTTGGTCGTCCCAGCAGGGACGGTGGCGATGAAGCATAATTCGGGGGTAGAAGGTGGAGCGATTTGACAACAACATGAGTTGGAGAGAGTTTTTGTTACTTGAGTTCGCGACAATGCCAATCAAGGCCGCGAAGAGGACGGATGCAAAGAACTGGGTGATTTCAGGTTAGAAAATGGGGTATGGTAGGGGTTTTTATCAGTAGCGAGCGGAAGGGGTGTTTCATGTCTTGTTATTGAATCAATGATTTATTCATACATATATAAATACTTTTCAAGCCGTGAAATTCACACTCTTCTTTCTTTTGCATTTTATTGACCTTGGGTTTGCATGAATTGACTATTATATCCACCTTATTGAATTAATTGATGGGAAGCACCATTAAAAATTACGTGGTTTTCTGACCTACTTTCATGGATTATTTTCTATGGTATTTTCATAACAGGCATAATGAACAAACTTCACATTGCCTTCCAAAACTCTGTTGGAACCTTTCCCATTTTATTCTTGGAAATACTATTATAATGTGAATGAGTTACACTTTTTGAAATGCCACAAATATTTCAGCCTTCCACAAGTTGACGCTAAGTCATCTTGTTTGGGGGCATCACACAATTCACATAGATTTCAAACTCCTTAGCAGATAGCTTTGCCAACTTACTAACTTAGGTGGTCATCTTGATTGATATGTGCTATTCTATTATGCGAGTACTCGATTTGGCTTTGCAATGTGAGAGATCGTCCGTAAACATCAGAAGAGATTGTGAGGAATTACTTGATTCAGAGAAGAAGAAATAATGATAAGTTCCGGAATGCGCAGAGCGTAGTCCACCATTTAGTTCCATATCTTGGTGGTAAATTACATTCACAAAGCTAACTTCTTCAGTTCAGTTCATCTAGGTGATTTAGTATTGTTATTTTCTGGTTGTATGCCTAGTTTTAGATGTGGGTTGCTGATTCACAGTGTACATGACTCTCAATTAGTAAAACATATGATATACTTCGTTTGGTGGTTGTGGCATGCCGCTTTGCTTTTTCAGGTGACCTGATGTCTCTGACCCATTATTTAGGCATGTAATTTTTAGCACTAGTAATGTAGTTGTATTCTGCCGAAAAAGCCTAATCTAGTTGTGTTTATCTTGTATTTCTTATTTATTTATTTATAATAACGGAAAAGTCTTTCATGCTACTTTGTTAATTTTGTTGTTATCTGAATATAGCCCTAATTGTTGGACTAACTGAAATGAATGCTTTCCTTTTTAGCAAGCGGCGCTTGTGTTAAATGCTTCTCGTCGATTTCGATATACCTTGGACTTGAAAAAGGAAGCAGAGAAGCAGCAAACAATAAGGAAGATTAGAGCACATGCAAAAGTCATACTAGTAATATCGCCTATAAATGAATTTTCTTGCAATTTTTTTAATTATTTGATAAAAATTTTAATCTATGATTCTTGCTCTGTTAGGCGGCTAACCTTTTCCAAGCTGCTGGGAAACAAGTAAATGGTACTGCCCTTTCTTTACTCTCGTGTTTAATCTTTTTAATGTGGCATGGTAAGCATAGGATTTAGAAAACTATAGGTTGGCTTTATCATTCAATAGCATTTCCTTACTAGAATGGTATTCTTATTTGTGTAGTTCTTGCTTTATTTTTCTGTTTGAGTTACTGATAGGAGAAGGATATCCATTTTTTTTCCAATTATGGTCTTTACCCTTTCCATGCGCTACTAATTTCCCTTTTTGTCTTTGATTAACTATTTCAATACTTTGACTCTCACTTTTTTTTTCCTAGTTGGTACTCACACACACTTGTTTCTTCTGAGAATTGAACCCCGGACCTCCCTTTGAGAGGTAAGAGCTTGATACCACTAGGCCACTGACCCGTTGGTTACTTTGACTCTCACTTATTCATGACCCTTGACCCTCACTTGTTTGTTTCCATTTGATCAATTACCTTTTACCTACGTTGAACCTATTTCTACGGTTTCCTCTGTTTTTTATTGTCTTAGCGCTATTACTTATATTTGAATTTGGATTTACCCTTAAGGTCGTGCAACTCTCTAAAATTGCTGATTCACATTGTGCCAAAATTTTGCACCCCTGCGGACCTATATCTCCAGTTATTTATATTGTTCTTTTTGGTGTGCTTCCAAGTTTGTCAATTCTGTTATTCATTCTTCAGTTAGTCCCAGAAATATTTTAATATTGAGTACTCTTAAATTGCCGTCATTCTTCTTTGATTGCCAAATATTGTTTTATAACATTGTTTTAAAAGCCAAGTGGAGTGGTGAACCAATTTATGTAACTGACCCTGAATGGTTGGAAAAAGGTTTTGTTTAATGGATAAAGGAGGCTGACCCTGAATGGTCTGCGGTCCAGTTGGATAGTCAGTGTTGAAAGTGTATGGAAATTTTAAGTTGTGTGAAAAGTTAATTATGTTTTAGAAACTTAATATTATTCTGTTGCAATTTTCTTGGTATTGAATTCTTTTGGCACAAAAGAACAGATGTATTTTTAGAATCTTTCAGCAAAATTTGCCTTCGCATACAATTGTGTATTTCATTAGATATTATGTTGCTTACAGCTTTTAATCTTTTCAAATAGAAAACAACTTAGTGCTCTTGGTGTAGCTGTCGTGTTGTTCGCGCAGATCTTCTAAAATATACTGTCACACAATTTTTAGATGTAGCAAGGTCTGATGCCATTGCAATTTCAAGGTCATGTTTTGCTTCCATTTATGATGGAAATCTTAATATTGCCTTTTCTTTTTTTTGGAGGAAGATAAGTTTATTTCTTAAAGCATTGTATTATGGAGCTTCTAATCAGTTGATTGTCTTTTCTTATGATTATTAACATTATTTATATTTTAGTTGTTTACAATTTCTGTCGATTTAGTTGGTTCTTCTTGGTATCAGGAACTCCAATTGGTCATTATGATATTGGACAAGAGGCACTTTCATTATTGACGAGGGAACATGATTTGTCTGCTTTGCAGCAATGTAGAGGGGCAAGTCTAATTTCAGCTCATTTATATATATGTACCTTTTGTTTTCTTTATATTAATTGTCATTTAACCTCACTCTGCATCCTGGCTGTGTTTCTACATCAGGTTAAAGGACTTGCAGATATGTTAAAGACAAATCTAGAAAAGGGAATCCCTGGGGATGACGATGATATATTAGATAGAAAAAATGTATTTGGATCCAACACATATCCTCGGAAAGAAGGACGGATTTTTTGGGTATGTTTTGCAATTAATTTTGACTTTTGGGCATTGTATTCTTCGTACTGATTTTTTAATCAGGTATTATGTGCTGTCTTTTAATAATGGAAAAAAGGTACTATGAGATTCATTTTGCTGTTATATGTTTCATAGTGGTTTCTTTGGGAAGCTTGCCATGATACAACCCTGATTATCTTGGTGATTGCTGGAGCTGTTTCTTTGGGGCTAGGTGTAAAGACAGAGGTGAGATAAGTTGAGATCAGTCATTATTAGTATTTATTGTTGTAGTATGTTATGTCCTAGACTTGACTTCATCATGGTGTTGCCTTGGATTGTGCATAAATGGTAACGTTAGGCCCCTTGCAATTCCTTTGTATTAAGCATTAATTTATATTATTATGATCTGAGCTATCTAATTGCAATTTTTTTGGATCTCCAGTCATAGCACATAATTTTTGTTTTGTACCAATATTTACTGTGGGATTGGATGCAGAATGGGAAGTTTTTCCCTTTTACAGCTTAAACAAAGTCCTATATATTCTGTAAGATCTGTTGTGTGCGAGGAGTTCATCTGGTTTCTCATTCGGCAAATACTTGTCTCATTTCTTGTTTCACTTTTGCATACTTGTAGAAGATAGGCAAAAGACTTGGGTGTATGTCGAAAATTTTCTTTATATGCTTAGTTGTTTTAATTAGGTTTTAGGTCTAAAGGTTGACAGAATGGAGTGCAAATTTTAGAAACTTTTGGAAAGCTCATAAGCAGAAGGCTTAAATTGGATTTAATTTGGGTATGCAGATGGTGGGGACCGGTTTGTCCATTATTCTTATAAATTCTTAATAACTCAATTAAAGTGCTTAGAGAATCATGGCTTTGGTTCAAGAACTCATGTGATACGTCCCTTGTGAAAATATGAGAAGTTACTGGATTTGGTGTATTATTCCACTGAGAATCTATTTCATTTGAATGTGATTAGTAGAACTTGAATCATAATATTGGTTGCGTCTCAACTCGTGAGCTAAAAATTTCGATGCTAAGAGGATTTTTGATTACTTGATATTTCTTCGTATTTTTCCTACATCGTTTAGCTGATAATTTTAATAGGTGTTTCCAATTTACATCATGTAACATCGTTTTCACTTTTATTATTTGGTTTGGCAGCATGGATCTTTTAATGTCTCATAATGTGAGCAGGAATCCTTGAACAACTCACCAAAGAAAGCATTTGTATTGAAGCTCGGATAGTCTGCTATTTCTATTGTTTCTTTTCTTCTGTGGTATTATCATTTGCCTTCCTGCTACAGAATCATACAGAGTCACATTGTTACAGTGGTGTTGGAACATCTTTAAAGTCTGACAATGATCTTAGTTGGTGCATATATATATATATTCTTCTTTTTTCCATATTAAAGAGCAAAACAGAACTGTACAAAGACAAAAAGCCCAAACAGAAATGCTAGATATTGCTTTACTTAAATCTCTGAACTAGTCAGTCAGTTATGAGTTAGCTTTGGTAAACATCCGCTTAGGAGCTTCCAACCTTGTATTTTATGAGTTATTATTCATAATCTGTTGTACAAATTTTTCTCTATTTTTAGGCCACTCTATAATGCAAGGTTACTTCTTTGTAAAATTTAAACCATATTTCTTGACTATTCTTTTCTTTCGTTTTTCCCCTTAAAATTAATATCGTTTCATATCTCTGAATTAAGTATTCCCTTGTATGGTATTAAGGAAGGATGGTATGATGGAGGGAGTATCACATTAGCGGTCATCATTGTTATAATCATTACAGGTATTGATCATGTTCATTGGAATATTTATTTAATTTGCGTAGTTTTCCACGCATACATTTATCCAGATTCTTCTATGCTTCATATAGTTGACCTTTGGTATGTGGGTAATTTATATTGGATTGAATAATGAGATTCATAATCATATTGATAGTGAGGTTTGTGCAGTTATAGTTGGTTTGACTTGTATGCATCATTGTCCATCATTATCACTTTTGGCTGAAGAATAAATAATTACGACACATTAAGGCATAACGGGGGTAATGTATACCATATATAACTTAAAAAAAATAAAAATTAATTGTCCACCATACATTGAGTCCTTGTAATGCAACAGTTAAGAGTCAGCTACATATGCTAGCAGTCACTTTATAAAGGTTCATCATCATCATTGTCTGACCTTAACTGGTTGACGAGCGTTGTTATCATGGAGTGCTTCCCAAAATAGTTACTTTTTTATTCCAAAAAATCTATCCTACAACCTTTAATTAACCAAAACCAGTTTGAAAATCTACCTATCTGTCACTTTGAAACCCTACATCCAAGCCATTCTGATCCTTTCCAGTTGAAATATTTTCCAATCTTATTATCCTCTTTTTAAGCCCTAAACTTAAAAATGTTGGTATCTTTTTGCACCATGAACCTAACAGGAGGAAGCATTATTTTATGTTTTCTAGTTCTTTCCTACATCCCCTGCTGGCTGTCCTGTACAATGGAGTTTGTATGCTCATTGAACTCCTCTCACCCTCACGTTATGCTCTTCCAAAGGTCTACTGCATGCGTTATTGTAACTTTCTTCGAAGTTCACCCACCCGTATTGCTCCAGTACTTTTCTTCCACTACACTACCCCATGTCTTTTCTTATATTTTCTTAACATTATATTATGCTGGTACTTATCAAAAAAAAAAAAAAAAAAAAAACTTTATATTATGCTGGCTGTACATTATTTGTTTGTGTACTAACCTAGTTTCTTTTCTGTATGTATTTTGTTTACTGGAATGCTGAAATTGGAATTCTACAGTTACGTTTATTTTGGTTTGTTTTGTTATTGATAAAAATCAGTTTTCTACAGCATAATTGTCATGTGTGATTGGTAGTTCAAGTTGAGGGGCTGTCATCTTTGGTTGTCATATTCATATAGACTCTCCAGAAAGGAATTGGCTTTCACAAAATACAGCTATCATTGCATATTTGATTTGTTATCAGTTATCCTTGGTGATGCCATTAAAAATGTGTTTCCCATGCTTGCATCTTGAGTTGTATTGGTCAATTGATGATGATTTACTGGGTCACAGTTGGACGCATAAATCTGGGTATTTCTAATTACCATCTTTGATGTATTTAATGGATGTTCTGCATCATGCTATGTCTTGCATTTGCTTAACTATTGGATGTAACGAAAAACATAAGCATTGTTTCATTGTACTGAATGCCATATTAGTTTCTCAACTTCTTTCATTATTTATTTATTTTTTATCCTGAAGCTACAAGTGATTATAGAGAATCCCGTCAATTCCAAGCTTTAAGCAAGGAGAAGCAGAATATGCATTTGGAGGTACGTCTTATGCAGTTTGGCAATGTCATTGACCTACAATGTTTTTCTTTTCCTCACCGTTGAAGGTATGCATACACAGGTCATTAGAGGTGGTAGAAGAGTTGAGGTTTCAATATTTGATCTTGTTGTTGGTGATGTGGTGCTTCTTAAAATTGGTGATCAGGTGAATGGCATAAATTCATATTTTCACTGTGTTTGACCCTTGCATTTCCAATGCTTTTACTAACTTTTGTACTTCAATTCTACCCCAGGTCCCTACAGATGGAATTTTAATTTCTGGCCACTCTCTTGCAATTGATGAATCGAGCATGACTGGGGAGAGCAAGATTGTAAGCTTTCTATCCTAGTATATTGTTCTATGCTGATCCTATATTTTTGTTTCCCTAATTCACTAGCATGATCTCCTTTTTGGTAGGTTGACAAGCATGCGAAGGCACCATTTCTAATGTCTGGCTGCAAAGTTGCATATGGCTATGGCTTTATGCTGGTAAAATTTCAATCTATATTATTTTATGTTTTTGGTTGTGGATGTAATTTTCAATCTATATCAGTTAAAATAGCATCTATGCAATGCATGCCAATGACATGAATGACTAAGTTAAATTAGATATTTAAATTATTTTAATGTTCAATTATAGTTTCTATGTTTTGTGTGGCTTGCTTCATTTGCTAAAATATGCTAACTTATATGTTTTCATTATTTTTAGGTAACAGGTGTTGGAATAAATACAGAATGGGGGTTGCTAATGGCAAGTCTTTCAGAAGATACTGGTGAAGAAACACCATTGCAGGTTCATCTATTTAAATATGCAACCTTATTTAAATGGTTAAAATTGGAGCCTGTCTCTACACTTTATCTTTGAGTGACTGATTAGAAAAGACTATTTGTGAATGACTTGTGATAGGTACGTTTAAATGGAGTTTCAACATTGATTAGTGTCATTGGACTGGCAGTAGCTTTCTATGTTTCGTGTGCCGGTCTTATCAGGTAATTATTTGATGTCCTCATCCCACCCCCACCCCCCCGCCCTCTCCTCTCTCTACCTTCGTCTTATAAAGTGTTTGATATATAATGCTCATAAATTTGAGTATCTACAGATACTTTACTGGGCATACCAAAAATCCAGATGGAAGTATTCAATTTGTTGCTGGCAGGACTAAAATTGGCGACGCCATAATCATTGTTGCAGTATGTTTCCCTTTAAGATTACAAATTGATATATGTGTGTGCGTGTTTTTTTTTTTTTTTTTTTGAGTTTCTGACCAATGGCAGAAGAATTGTAGGAAACAATTGTGATGGTTAGACTGCCTGAGGGGCTTCCCTTAGCTGTTACATTAACGTAAGTCTGATCTTTCTGTTGTATTTTAATTTCATTTTATTAGTTTTGTTGAACATAATTTGTATTCAGCATTGTAAGACTGAGTTTCCTTACGCAAATACTGTAATTTTTTTTTTTTTTTTCTTTTCTGAAGAATAAATCATCAACCTTTTTTTGGTTTAAAACCACTTTTTATCCATGTCAACCTTGTTCAAATTTCTACTAGTTCTTCTAGCATGTTTAAGATTTTACTGGTTTCATCATTAGTTTTTTCTGTACATGCCCAACTCGTCTCGGTGCTACCTCTAACATCTTAACGATGCTTCTTTGTGTTTGTTTGTTTGTATGTTTGTTTCATTTCTTATCATTATTTTCGTTTTTAATTTTATTTCCTACATTTCATAATTGTATTACAGACTTGCCTACTCAATGAGAAAAATGATGGCAGACAAGGCCTTGGTATGCATTTTTTATTTTTTTTCTTCTCAGACTTTCAGACTTTCTGGTAGTGACATTGATACAGACGTGCATTTGTTCTGTGGCTTTACTACTACTGAACTGCAGGTCAGGAGGCTTTCTGCTTGTGAAACCATGGGTTCTGCAACTACAATTTGTAGCGATAAAACTGGGATCTTGACTTTGAATGAGGTGATTATTGTGCTGTTTCTTGAGCACGTATTTTGCTTCTCTACTATTCCAAATTTGGTTTTTTAGTGGACAATTCATGGTTTCAATTTTTGGTCAATGAGTTTTCTTTTATTTTTGAGTTCACTTGGGGAAGGATCTTTGCAACGTGTAAATATAGTCTTCATTAAGAACCGCTTTAGTGCTTTGGCTTGAAGAAATTGAGAGGTCCCAAGAAGATGTTAATATAATATCAGATCTATCTAGGTCTTAGTTGCTTAGAGGTTGATGTCAATTGAATGTTTAGACATTCTTTGTTTTCTTTCCTTTCTTTCTCTATGTTTTCTTTTTTCCTTTTGTTTGTTTTGTTTTGTCAGTTGATGTTTAGTTGGTGTGTGTGACGCAGGACAAGTAGTGTGTAAATAGTAACCAGAAATAAAGAAGGGGATGAGAACGAGAAAATGAGATGCGATTGACGAAGGAGGTGAGAAAATAGATGAATGAAATGAGAAATCAGACTGAAGGAGGTAGGCTAGAGAGACTGAGGGATTAAGAACAGCAAGAACACGAGGGAGAATAGATACAACGAGATAGAGTTCGCAAACTCAACGATAATATTCAATATTCCAAAAAACTGAGTTCTCAAATTACAAAGAAGCCTTTAAATAGGCAAATTATTAAGCAAACCCTGAAACATAAAAATACCAAAATAACCCTAAAATTCAAACATGATCAAATATAACAATAAGCATAATTAAACCCTAAATTACTAAAATCCTTAATTTTATTTCTCTTTCCCTCTTCTCCAAAAGTAACGTTGGAACACGTGCAGCTCATGTGTGCGCATCACACACCGTTCCCCATCAGTGTGTGACATGAAACTCACCATCAATGCAAGAGGTCATTTTGGAGGATCGGGAAGGTTTTTTTGTTTGTTTGCGTGAAGATTGAGAGAAGGCCTCCTCCCCCCACCCTTTTCTCTAATTGTCACAAAATTTCTTGTGTTACAGATGACTGTGGTTGAGGCCTATATTGGTGGAAATAAAATCGACTCTCCGGACGATAGGTCACTGTTTCCTCCTACCTTTAAATCGCTGCTTATTGAAGGTGTAGCACAGAATACAACTGGGAGTGTCTTTATGACTGAGGTGGGTGAAAGAGTTATGTATTTATTTTGTTAAATTGGAGTTTATTGTCAATTTGTCATTTAGCTTGAAACTTCTGCATTGATATTTAGAGATTTTAAGTTGAAAATTATAATATGAGTGCATCATTCCACAGCAACGTTTTTCCCTATACATGAATTGTGATTAATAATCTGATATTTATATTGGCATATCTTAGTGCTGGTTGAAATGATAGTTCCTTGGATAGGTTTTTTTTTTTCTCTTAATTATTGCAGCAATTCTTTTAAGTCGTATGCAATTAATGCGGCTCATGCAAAAGAACTTGAAGAATCCCATTCAACATTTGCACCATTAAGTTTTGGAAAGTATATTATATATATATATATATATATATATATATATATATATATATATTTTCCCCCACGAGGATCAGATTTTGACCTTGCTTGGAATTATTGATATGCTTTAATAAAAAATAGTTTGACAATGTGGTGAATTGTTTTTTGGACTTGGATAGGATAAACTATGCAGTTAGGAATGATTATAAACTGGAGGCAGTGGAGAACCACTATTTCAGATTCTTTTCTAATGGATCATATTGTGTCCAAAATATATGAGAATTGAGTAAGCCCAGTTTCTTTGATTTTTGGGATGTTATTGGAACTTGAGGAAAATTGACAGCGATGCTCTGAAGATTTGTCTTACTGTAGAATACCTGGGAGAATTTGGTGGGAAACACTTGCACAATTTTATTGAATGTGAGAGCATCACTGCATATAACTTGATATATGTCAATAATATAGGTCAGTGTTTTTGGATTATGCAAAAATATAACTTACAGTAAGCAGGTCATAACAGTTAATTGGTCAACCAGATGTACGCTTAAGAAAAGGCATATAATGAACCCTGTTAACTTAAGCAAGGGCGGAAATAGGCATGCACTTAAGCAGGTCATAAGAGTTATTATTTTTATCACATTCAATATGCCTCCTGAAAAAAATTCCTGGCTCCGTCCCTTGTGACCGGCGTATAGATATTCCCCCATTTTGGTGGGAGAGATGGAGAAAAAAAAAAAAGTGAAAGGGAGAGGAGGAGGGATAGAAGAGGCGTCACCAGGGACATGAGGATGTTCATCCTTCCTTTTGTTTGGTTAATTGGAAGGGGAGGAATGAGATATATTTATCTTACACAAATCTACTCGCAAATATATAAATTAATGCTAGTGATTTTTTTTCAATATTATTGAGAATATTTTCTTTTTTCTCTCCTATTTCCTACCAAATTTTGGATGGAAACAAAATGGTGTGTTATAAGGGATACCTCCTCCGCCCTTTCATACTTTCGCCCCTCCCTCTATCAAACAATGGAACCCTGCCCACCCCCCCTCCTTTTCTGTCCTCTTGTCTTTTCTCCGACCAAGTGCAGGATAAATATCGTTCAGATGCCTTTTATTGCAAATGCTGGGATTGCCCCCTTGGGAAGTTGGAGATTTGCTTGTATAATAAAATGTTTAGCGCTAGGACGGCGACTATTAATTCATTTATTCTATTTCCCTTTTTGTCTTGCATTGCATTTTATTAGAGCTCATATATATAAATATTTGTTGAGTTTCTTCTAAAGAATATGGCAGTCTACTATTACTTTTTGTTGTTCCTTCAATTACAAAATGTCGTTTAGCTAATGTTGCTTGCATATTTGCTCCCTGTATTAGGTTAATTAGTTCTAAGGTCTTGCATGTTTCAAGGGACTAAATTTGGTGTACTTTTTTCCTGGTCTTTACTAGTCATTCCTAGCTGATTGTCTTAGCTATTGCGCTGGATTTTTATAACTGGGGCCCCGTCCAGCCATTAGAGCATGTTGTTGAGGTCCTTTCTTAGTGTGATCTTGGAACTTTTGTGTGCTTCTTTTGTATTGTCCTGTTTATTGTACAGTATATTTGTTGAGTCCTCTCTTATCACTAATAAATTTTAGGTGTTGAAGCATTTGATTCTATCATCAGTTGCTCTTGTTGATGTCCGACAGGGTGATGGAGATGTGGATATTTCGGGATCACCAACAGAAAAGGCCATTCTCCAGTGGGGGGTCAATGTACTTTTGCCGATTTTTCTATATCATTGCTCTTTTTTTTTAATATAAAAAAGTGTTTTAGACAATATCTTAATTTTTTTTGTAGCTTGGAATGAATTTTGATGCTGTCAGATCAGAGTCTTCAATTGTCCATGTTTTTCCCTTCAACTCAGAGAAAAAAAGAGTGGGTGTTGCACTTAAACTGGTAAATGAATTGCTTTCTTTACTCAAAAAGGATCACCTTTGTGTTGTTTGCTTGCATATCCTTTGTTTTATCATAGTACTTCAACATGGCACATCTATTTTTCTTTTGTTGTCACGTTGGAAATAGGTTTTATTTGTTGTATGCTTTTGATTTCATTATTTCAAGCGACGTGACTAGGAGAAATTTGAAAAATAGTTCAAGAGGAAACAGGATTTGTTGACTGAAAAAAATTTAAGTTAATCAATGAGTGAAGATAAAGTCATGAATCAAATGTAGTTGGTTTTTATCTCATGATTAGTGATGCTATTTGTCAAATGATTGCTTGGAGAAGATCTAGAATTTTTTTTTTTGTCAGCACTGAAATTATTGAACATTTGAAGTTGTTGGATGAGAAGATATTGGGCAATAGTAAAAGTAAACAACAAAAATTACTTGTGCAATTCTCAACTAGTTTCTGGTTGCATATTGCTTCTCCCCGTTCTGAAATTCCAGAAACTGAAACTTATGTGAGATACTTCGTTTAATAACACCCTAGTATCATAAAACTAACAATGCAAGTCTCAGAAAACCTTGTGCTTTAGATGACTCAATCACCCGCCAGACCACTTGCATTAGATAAGTGACAAGTCCGGGAGAAATTCAAACCTGAAATGTTTGTTTCTTAAGCCATTACCTTGACCACCTCATCTACCTTCGTAGGTTCGATAATTGGGTATCTGCTGACACCCTCATCTAGTTATATTAGAATAGAGAAAAGTTACTGTATTTTTGCAAATAATTTTTAGGAAATCAATAAGCTGTAGATTACTATCCTGAATGTGAAATTAAGATCATGACAAGTGCTATAAATTGTCGTTCATGTTGAAACTCTTAATGTAAAGATATTATAAACATGCATTGTGTTTGTATTAGAAAAGTAGCCTGGCTGAATACCAGATCCAGATGTTTTATTGCAATGAACCTATGGTGTCATGCATTGTGATAAAACAAAATTATATTAAATGCTGTAAAATGTATCTGTGGTCCAATAACAATTACGAATGATATTGATACATTATATGGAAGTTATGGAATTACAAAGGTATTCATATCAGTCATACTCTGCCCTTGTGAGTTGCAACAATACAATATGTTATTCATGAACTTCTTCTATTTTTGTAATGTTTACAGCCTGACTCTGAAGTTCATATTCATTGGAAAGGTGCTGCTGAGATAGTTTTGGCTTTGTGTACAAGATACATTGATGCAAATGATTGCATGGTTCCAATGGATGAACATAAGGTTGGAAAAAGTATATTTTTTGAGATTAAATGGTGTTGCCGGTAATGGTTAAGAATTTGAAGCTTTCTTGGACTTGAAATGAATTTTAGATGATTGTCTGATAGTTGATTTTTTATATTTTTTAAAAGATTTTTGATCGGTTAATAAATTGTATTTTGAAAATTCATAAATTTATAATGTTTACTTGAATCTTGATTTAACATTATTTATTGTGTCAAGATTGTCTTTTAATGAATACATGATGTATAACTGTCTTCCCCTAAAGTTAGTGGGGTTGAAATTTGTGTTCATCCGCAGGCGATTTTGTTTAAAAAGGCTATTGAAGATATGGCTGCTCGAAGTTTGCGTTGTGTTGCTATTGCTTACAGATCATACCAAGTGGCAAAAGTTCCAACTGCTAAAGAAGAACTGACTTATTGGAAAATACCTGAGGATGACCTTGTATTGTTAGCTATTGTTGGTTTGAAGGTATTATTCATCATTTGTTTGTTCTGTGTGCAAGGTGGACATCTTTTAACTGGATTGCAATTTGTTATTATTTCAAAATAGTACCATGATCTTGATTTTCACTTTTTCTTTTAAAAATTATCTCCATCTTTTTCTTTATTATTATTATTATTTATTTATTTAGTTATATAAAATAAAAAACAAAACAAAATTATATCACAAAACTTAGGAAAGCAACATGGAACATAAGGACATTAACCGGTAGGTGTAATGAATTAGTAGATACCTTAAAACAAAGGAACATAAACATAATTTGCTTACAAGAGACTAAGCGGAGAGGTGAAAAAGCTGGAGAGATTGAGGAAGGATATAAACTTTTCTACTTGGGAGGAAAAGATAACCAACGAAACAGAGTATGATAAAGGAGTAGAGTTGAGAAAACAAGGAAATAGATTAATTACTATTAAAATTATTACGACAAATGCAGCGAACCCACAAAATATTCACGAAACACGACAGAAAATAAAGACGCCATGCACAAAGAACACAAAGATTTACGTGGTTCGGCAAAACCTACGTCCTCGGTGAAGATTCGGTGAAAAATTCACTATGCGAAAATCTGAAAATTACAAGTTTCTGCCCCCAAATGCTAGCTTTCGCTCTCACTCTCTTTTCTGTGATTTTCAGTGTCTCAATATCCCACTCCAAACCCTAAACGCCCTTACATATTGGATTACAAGAGAGTACTAAACAACCCTTAATGTATATATTTTGTGACGCAGGATCCTTGTCAGCCTGATGTGAGAGATTCCATTCAATTATGCACCAATGCTGGTGTTAAGGTATTTTCTGTACTTTGATTTATATACTGATCACATATAGAATTTGTGAAGGTTAATGATTATGTGATTTATATACTATATAACCTTAATGAAGTGTGAAGATTTCCTATTTCTTGTATACTACATAATATTGTTTTATTTGTCTTTTAAATTACTATGGGGGACTAACATGATTGCTTGTTGGATGCCATCCATTGCCCACCAGCACTACTGTAGCCTTAAATTAATGAGTATAACCTTCTATTTTATTCTCATGTCAGTGTATCAAACAATTGATCTTCTAAAAAATTTGATACCGTCTATTGATTCTGTTCTACACTCTATAAGCCACTATCCCGATTCCTTCACTACCCGCAATCTGGGGATTGTTGTACCTAAAGGATCTACACTGGTTTAGATCTTCAAAAGGACATCGTTTTACTCTATCCTTAAAAAGGATTTATGCAGGTTTAGATCTTCATAGTGCAGGGGATATCTTCCTCTATCGAGTCATGTAGTCCTCTACTACTGCGCAACTTGAGTCTCCTCGCCCATTGCTTTGCATAAGGCCTCATTTGGAGTGAGGGCATCGGAGAGAAAAGAAAGGAGAAGATAAGGAGGGATAGCTTATCTTGTATCTGTTTTACCAACGAGGAAAGAAAGGAGAGGGTTTGGAAGGATGATGAGGGATACCTAACCTTTGAATAGTGATTTTGCTATCCCCTTCCTATGCAAGGAAAGGATAGGAGAGTTAGTGTTTACCCATTCTGCCGCTATTTTTTAAAACAAGTGATTTTTTTTGTCCTTAGTCCTTACTAGTCACAGAATAAAACAATCATTTCCCTTTTTTCTCTTCGCCATCTTTTTAAAAAATGATGAAGGGCTACCACCATTTCTTTTTCCTCTTAGTTATCCAGATACTATGCATGGTAACTTCTCTTCCTTTTCTTGTTTCATAACCATCGTTATCAAATCCTTTCTTTTGTCTTCTAGTTATGCAAATGGAACGTAAGCAAAGCAAAGGATATGCTTTGCCTAATTCATGAAAAGCCGGATGCAATGGGAAGGATATGATTAGTGGGGAAAGAGGCAGTAAACATTTTTAAATGATTGTCCATATGTTAGGAATTTAGAAACAAATCATAATGCAATACTGTACATTCTCTTTTGGATTGAAAGTTGGTGTATGAACTATTTTATGGAGATATCTTTACTTCTAAGATGGTGCAGGTACCATGACAGTTAAGAATAAGTTCCCTGATCCTTTCTTCACTAGGACAGGTCTTCTGTAGAGGGTTTATCTATAAGACATTTACTTTTTTGTCAGTATTGAGTTTAGATGGTCCTCAATTTGTCAAACAAAACTAAGTATCGGGGGGAATAAACACCGTGAAGAACTTTCTTCACCTTGAATGGATTAGATATGCAAGAAAAGCCCCACCGTCAACTCCATGACAATCTCGCATGTCTACGTGGTAGGCTTGCGTGCTCTCTCTACAGTGATCCTTCTTACTATTGGACATCGTATCTTCATGGCTCAAGCTAGTCAGCTGCCAAAGGTAACATCTGGATTATCGATTTTGAGATGAACAACTGGGTTGACATTTTCTAATTTTGTGTCCGAAAATATAAAATTTCATTTCTGTATCCCCTGGGTGATTCTGTCTCATAACAATACCCTTTCATAACCAGACATGTCTGAAAAATTCTTGCATCTTAAAACATTACTCATTACAACTCTATATCCTATTATTATCTTAGAGAGAATGGACATGCAGAAGCTACTTACATGACTTTGCTAAAAGTATTTGTAGGACCTTCTTAGACTTCCCTTGAACTTGCACAGAACAGATTCCCTTGTTCTTTGGGCCTACTGGTTCTGGAAGAGAAAACTTACTCAGGCACACCGTTCTCCTTCGTTTTTGCAGCTGAGGCTCTTCCACCCATGTATTCAAATGAATGGAGAGAATACCTTTCTTTTGTCAATCATTTGCTTCCATTTCATTAGTCTCTTCAATTTCATTAATTTTGAGACGCACGGAAACGGATATGGGACACGGATATGACACAACACGGATACGGCGACACGGCAGATCCTAAAAAATTAGGACACGGACACGGCAAATAAGAAATATATTATATATATATATATGATGTTGTACTTTAAGAAATTAAAGTAATATTATTTTTTACAATCTCATAATGAAAAAAAAAAGTGTTTTGCTGGGAAAAAGAAAGAGGGTTAAGAAAGAGAGGGAAAAAACAAAGAGAGACAGAGGATTAGGGTTTTGTTAGAAAAAGAATTAGGACTTAGTTAAAAATAAAAGTAAGAGTCCATATAAGAGAAAAAAGTTCATGGGGAATAAAGGAAAAAGGAAAAAGGGCCAAAAAGAAATTTATTTTGAAAGGAAAAAAAGAAGTATTTAGGGTTTGTGAAGAACAAGAAGAAGAAAGAAAAGAGGAGGATGAAGAATAAGAGAGAAAAGAGGAGAGAGAGATAGAGAGACCATTCACTGGTGGCAAAGCTTGGTTGGTGGGACAACAAAAGAGTCAAAGATGATCGTGCAAGAGTTCGAACCTTTGAACTAAAATATAAGAATAATTATCTAATTGTTTGAATATAAAATTGTTTTATGAAACAAGAAGTTTTTAAGTAATTATGTAATTAAACAACTCCTAATATTTACACTTCAACTCAACATTGTTTCTAAAATTTTCTTAAAAATCCCCAAAGAATGGGACACGTGTCTCGGACACATATCCATGGCATGTCGGAAGCGTGTCCAACAAGTTTTTAAGTAATTATGTAATTAAACAACTCCTAATATTTACACTTCAACTCTAAAATTTGTTTCTAAAACTTTCTTAAAAATCCCCAAAGAATGGGACATGCGTGTCGGACACATATCCATGGAGTGTCGGAAGCGTGTCCATGGCTTTTCTGAATATTCGAAAAAATATAAAATATTTGGACACATTTTTTGGCGTGCCCGACACGTGTCGGGGCGTGTCCGGCGCTTGTCGGTGTCCGACACGGATTCTTTGCCATTTTAGGCGTGTCCGTGTTTCCTAGAATCAAAATTTATTATATATGGGAACGTTACAAATTTATATATAAATAAGCAAAATGAACAGAATAATTCTAAGCCATCCTCAATACACTTACCTAGCGATATCTCACCACTAATGCCACTATTTGTTTTCCAGCACCAGATCCCTATCCATTATTTGGATGTTTACTCCAAGGCGAGCAATAGATTTAACCTTGGCTAGTTTCTTCTTGATCCACTCAGCTTGAGCTAAGGACCTTGCAAATTTCATCTATGTTCTCCCTTAACCAATTTCTTGTGGCGACTGCAAACCAGTTCATCCTTAAGCCTTCGTGATGCAGAGCACAGGCTGGCCTACAAACCTATAGTAGTCATAGACCCTAAGGGCTGCAATCATATTAGAATGCTATGGCTGCTACGATGATGTTTTTGCAGAGATCTTTTGTGTGTATTTGACACAGATTTTTCGTGTTTTTTTAGTTATTAAGTCCTCTTAGATACTTTGTGTTTCCTTAGTTGTTAAGGTGATGTTGGGAGTAATGCATGGAATCTAATATAACAGATTTGGAAGGGGATGAATTGTTCTCTTTTTCTGGTTGGTCATTATTCAAATTTTCAATTGCAATTTGTTGTAATTTTTACTTTGTGTTTATGATTAACCAATTAATCAATCAAGTAAAAATGTATAACCACAAAGCAGAAAAAAAGGCAAGACATTTTGAATGGAAAACCAAACGGGAAAAAATACATGAGCTAGTTCAGATGCTAGGGTTTATGGCCTTTGAGTTTGTGTGTTTGTCAAGGTGTTTCCTTAGCAGTTTACAGCTTGATGCCTAGGGTGAGAGTCACATTTGCCACATTATGGTTGGCATGCTCCAAATCAATGGCAGATATTCTTCTAATGTTGTGGTAGCATCTCAATTTGGCAACGATTTTCTGGCGGGTGCACCACCAGTTGTCCTCCGTACCGACATTTTCCTTTAAATTTGTGTCCCCTACTACTCGATATTTTCAAGTTTAACCACATTTTGAAATGGTGTTTAAACCACAAACTTCTCCTGGTTCTTCCAGGTCTTCATATGCCTAGGCATATAACATCCATCTCCACAACAGAACCCTGTTACCCACAGCTAGAAACTTTTTCAAAAATCAGTTTTCAACATTGTATTTAGTTTTCTTGTTGCTCTATAGCCAAGTAAAATTTACCATTTCTCGGAAAAGTAATTGACAGCAACATGCAATTAAGCTTTTGATAAGAAGACTTATCTCTCATTGACGTTTTGATGGTTTTTTGATTAACTGAACATGTTCTTCTCAAGCATTTGTAGAGATACTTTCTTGGGCACCATATGTTGATTTTAATTGCATATTTGATGACTAGAAAGGTTTTCTTATTTATTTATTAGTGTAGGAGGTTTCTTCAAGGTTTTAGCTAGCTCATATGAAATAAGTTGATTAATTTGGTGATATATGCATATATATTATAGATATAGTTTTGTAAATTGTATCATCTGATACAATTGGTTGGAAAAAATTTCCTTGTACAGGTACGAATGGTCACTGGTGACAATCTTCAGACAGCTAGATCAATAGCTCTAGAATGTGGGATACTAGGGTCAGAGGCAGATGCTGCTGAGCCAAATCTCATTGAAGGGAAGGCATTTCGTGCCTTGTCAGAAGTGCAAAGACAAGAAATTGCTGAGAAGATATTGGTATTATCTCAATTTGTACTGCGATAGTGTGCATAAACTTGTAACTGAAATGAAATGTGTCCAGAAAACCAAAATAATAATAATAATAAATATTATTAGTATTAATTGTCATTTGATGCATAGGTAATGGGAAGGTCTTCTCCTAACGACAAGCTCTTGCTTGTGCAAGCATTGAGGAAAAGGGGACATGTTGTTGCTGTAACTGGAGATGGCACTAATGATGCTCCTGCACTACATGAGGTATGACAGGATAACAATGGACTCGTTGGGTGGATGGTATAATGTAAATCTGATCTTGTGCAATTAGACAAGGCAGATTTTTTATTAATTTATTTATTTTTTTAAATGCAGGTTCCATTGTTAATGTGTTCCATTTACAGTTCACTAATCTTGCAAAATATAATATCCTATCAATTTGAAACATTAAAATTTATATGTTCAACAACTACAGCCAAGGGAACTCTTTTTCTTTATTGTCAGCCAGAAGAATTGTTATTGTTATGACAAACGCAACAAACCCAAGATAGAATCAAGAATCACTACAGAAAAGTAAATACACCACACAAAGATTTATACGTGGTTCGGTAACAACCTATGTCTACGGTTAGGATCCGGCGAAAGTTTTCACTATGTCTAAAATCGGAGATTACAAGTTGTCAGCCCCTCACTCTGTTTCTGTATGAATTTCAGAGTCTCTCCCTTACACCACTCCAAACCCTAAGCGCTCTTATATATCGGGCTACAAGAGACTAATTAGGGTCCACGACCCATGAGCAAAAACAGGTCAAAATTTTGGTGGGCTTGGGCCCACACAAAGCTCATCCAACGGGTCATAAGCAGGTCGCAACGCTACCCGGTACCAAAATCGGGCCACAACATCACAGTTACAGTTATACCCTATTCTCATTTTGGATGCCATTCAAACAATTTTCCACATCTCAACCAAGGTTTTTGTTTAATAAATTACCTATGGAACACATAAATGGTGAGACTTTACAGGTTTTCTAGATGTGCAACTCCTGGTCAGGTTGATAAACTTCAACTGTCAGTTTGTTATGGCGTTTTTTTACTTTGCTTAATAGTTTCATCTGTCTTTCAAAAAGGTATAAACTTTTTTTTTTTTCCCAGTTGAAAAAAAAGATATTAATTTTATTTATGATATATTCACCTAAATTGGTTTGCAATTACTTTGAGTTTAGGCTGATATCGGTCTTGCCATGGGTATCCAAGGAACAGAAGTTGCAAAAGAGAGCTCAGACATCATTATATTGGATGACAGCTTTGCTTCCGTAGTAAAGGTTAGTATCACGTAAGTAGGTTGGTAGGGATCACTTTGATGAATCTTGTTCCTGTGAGAGGCATTTCGTTCCTAAAAGGGGAACCAAGTTTTGCCTCTTGAAAAATCTGAACAGCATCAACGAGGTATTAATTTCTGCTCTGTTAGACATAAACAGGGTAATGACTTATTTCTTTTTCTTTTCACTAGCACAATGGCACATGTACCACTCAAGGGTCAATACTAGGACCTACTGAAACTTAACTGCACCCAGATATCTACGCAAGTTGTCTCTAGGAATTATGGACAGTTGATTTAGGAAATATCTTTAAAGAATTATTTTATATCATTTGATTCTTTAGAGATGTGATTTTTATGGAAGGTTGGCGTTTGAGGTCCTAGAAATTATCCGTCAACCGCTTAAGAGTATTTTACTCCTTAGCCATCCTGATTTGAATCCACAATTCCATGCTATTCTTCTTACTGACATGCACCTGAGTGGAATTGAGACTCAGGAAATTACTTGTCTAGGAAAATCTTTTTTCTCTATTTGCTGTATTCGAGTGTCTCAATCTAATTAAATCAGTTGGAGGCTCAAAATTAATCACAAATTTGGCATTAAAGAATAAGAAGCTTGTAACGTCAATAAGTGATTCTGTCTGTCAAATGCAGGTTGTCCTATGGGGCCGATCTGTTTGTGCGAATGTTCAAAAATTCATTCAGTTTCAACTCACAGTTAATGTTGCTGCTCTTATAATTAATGTTGTGGCTGCAGTTTCCTCTGATGGTGTCCCGTTAAACACAGTACAGGTATCTTCTCCCTCTCTCTCTCCCTCTCCCTCCTTCCGGTTGTGAGTTTGTCTATCTCTGTGCATGTCTGGGTGGGTTGATGCCATATTTTGCCCTCTTCTTTTGTCTGTACAGCTTCTTTGGGTTAATCTTATTATGGATACTCTTGGAGCGCTAGCGCTGGCCACTGAACCTCCAACGGATCATTTGATGCACAGGCTTCCAATCGGTCAAAGGTTAGACCTCTTTAGATTGTCGAAATTGCGGGAATATATGTTGTTATCGACATGTGAAACAATTTGCTTTTTTATCTCGTCTTGATTCAGTATCATCTAAGTAGAGCTGGCTAAGCATCAGTATTGGCTTGAGCCCAATGTCACGCCCCATCAATATGCAGGGAGGTGGCGTGACGTAGGCGACACGCGAGCAGGAGGAATCTGTATGGCGTTTGCACTATATGAGAGAATTGTTGAGCGTTGTAGAGTGATCGAGGATTCTAGAACATTAGAGAGCTTGTTGGAGTTTGTAGGCTAGAATATTAGAGTAGAGGGTCATGTAGAACCCTCGATTTCTCTTAACTTTAGCGAGTCTATATGTTTTCTCAGCCACATCATTTGTACACATTTTAGAATAAGATTGACATATATTCTATTACCACTGGACTTCATTTTTTTTTTTTGCATATTTGTAATTTTGTTAAACTTTCTTTAACTGCAATTTTTTTGGCCAAATCTTAATTGGTACTTTTTCCTCCTATCCAGTTTTTCCTTTGTTCACTGGTTGATAAGCAGATTGCACTGATCATTTTGCTTTTTGGTCTTTGTCAGGGAACCTCTGATAACAAATATCATGTGGAGGAACTTACTAATACAGGTATTCTCAGTCTCCAATCGATCATTAGCAATAATGTGTAATCTCTAATTCTGAAAAAGTGTGTAAAGAAGGAACATCTATGTTTTCATTTAGATTTACGGTAACTCTTCTTTTTTTTTTTTTTTTTTGGATAAATAAGCGACACATAGACCAATTTTACCCCACTTGGACTAGAACTCTTAACATCTCCTTTGGGGAGGTTGAGGTCTTGCCTCCTAGGTCAAGGGCTCAGTGGTTTATGGCGACTATTCTTTGCTACTGAAATTTCATAATTTGAGGTAGCAAAAATTAAGTGTTCTTGGCTACATTATTATTCTTCATGATCGACAAAAATTGATGGTGGTTGAATTATTACAGGCTTTCTATCAAGTGACTGTCCTGCTTGCCCTCAACTTTCGAGGTAAAAGCCTCCTCAGTATAGAGCATGATGACGGTGTGCATGCCAACAAAGTGAAGAATACACTGATATTCAATGCTTTTGTCCTTTGTCAGGTAATTTTATTGACCTGAATAAAAGAAATGAAAATGAAAAATGACTAGTTTATTTGTTGTTAGAGGATTTAAATATTAAAGTTACACTCTCTCTAACAACTTAAGCTTTTATTGATGGTTGTTGGTATTAGAGCAGGTAAGGTCTATGTTCAAGTTTCACCGTCACTCTGATAATTAAAATTGAAACACGTGTTGGACCAAAAGGTCACACGTGAGGGGCATGTTGAAGGATTTAAACATTAAAGCTAGACTTTCTCTAATTGCTTAAGCTTTTAGAATAGAGGGTGGTTAAGTGGTTAACATTGTATCAAAGCAGGTAAGGTCCATAGTTCAAACCTCACCGTCACCCTGATAATTAAAATTGAAACACGGGTTGTACCAAAAGACGGCCACACGTGAAGTGGTGTGCTAGAGGATTTAAATATTAATGTTACACCCACTCTTTCGTTTCTGGTCAAAATCTTATATGAATGGTCCCATAGTATGGCCCTAGTTAAGCTGAATATCGAAGGTTTAAACTGATCTGAGTCCATTTTTTGATGATCGGTGCTTGACCCTGTTCAGATTCATGAAGGATAGAGAGAGAGAGAGAGAAATGTATATTCTATGTATTGCATTCAGTCTTCTCTTGTGAGGCTTATATAAAGAACAAGGGTTATACACCTTAATTACACAATATTGCTTAATTACACAATAAGCCTAACTATTATGGGTAATTACATAAGGACCCAATATTATAGAGGATATAAACATTCTAACACTCCCCCTCAAGCTGGAGAATATATATCAAATAATCCCAGCTTGAAATAGATAGTCCTTAACCGGTTATGACCCAGTGCTTTGGTAAACATATCAGCTAGTTGATCTTCAGACTTCACAAATGGAGTAAAGATGCTCCCACTTAATAGTTTTTCCCGAACAAAGTGACAATCAACCTCAATATGTTTGGTCCTCTCATAAAACACAGGATTCGATGCAATGTGAACAGCTGCTTGGTTATCACAGAACAATGGAGTAGGAGCTTCAACTTTCAACCCAAGTTCTTTTAGAAAATGTTGTATCCATGTCAACTCACTAGTGGTATGAGCCATTGCCTTGTACTCAACTTCAGCACTAGATCGAGCTACCAGCGTTTGCTTTTTACTTTTCCACGTAACAAGATTTCCTCCTACAAATGTACAGTAGCCTGTAGTAGATCTCCTATCTGAAGGAGAACCAGCCTAGTCAGCATCTGTAAAACCTTCCACCCTGAGATGACCATTTGATTTGTATAGTAACCCAAAACCTGGAGCTTGCTTGAGATATCAGATAATCCGAAGAACAACAATCCAATGTAGCATTCTAGGAGCTCCCATGAACTGACTTACAACACTAATTGCATATGAAATATCAGGTCCAGTGATAGTGAGATAAATTAATTTCCCCAACAAGGCGACGAAATTTGCCCGGGTCATTAAATAGATCACCCTCATCAGATACAAGTTTTGTATTTGAATCCATAGGAGCATCAACCGGATGACCACCTAACATACCCGTTTCTTCTAACAAGTCCAACACATATTTTCGTTGAGATAAACTTATACCTTCCTTGGATCTAGCAACTTCAATACCTAAGAAGTACCTAAGTTTACCCAAGTCTTTAGTGTGGAATCGATTTTGCAGAAACAACTTCAACTTAGCAATGCTTACAGAATCATCACCTGTGATCACAATATCATCTACATACACCACAAGAAAAATGAAGCCAGCTTTAGTGCGCAGGTGAAATACCGAATGATCAGTCTGGCATCTGTTAAGACCAAATTCTAATGCCGCCTCAGAGAATTTTCCAAATCAAGTCCGTGGAGATTGTTTCAATCCATACAGGGCCTTTTTAAGGCGACAAACAGTGTGACGATACTCCCCCTGAGCAACAAACCCAGGTGGTTGCTCCATATAAACCTCTTCAACCAGGTCACCATGTAAGAAGGCATTTTTGACATCTAATTGAAACAACGGCCAGTTACAATTGGCAGCAATGGAAATAAGAACTCGAATAGAAGAAATCTTAGCAACAGGGGAAAAAGTCTCATCATAATCAACACCATAAGTCTGAGTGTACCCCTTTACCACTAGACGAGCCTTCAACCGCTCAATAGACCCATCGTGAAGGTATTTAACTGTGTAGCCCCACTTACAACCAACCGTTGTGGAGCCCGGAGGTAAAGGAACAAGTTCCCATGTTCCATTACGGTGAAGGGCATCCATTTCATCCACCATGGCTTGTCGCCAACCCAAATCAGAGAGAGCATCCTGCAAAGTCTTGGGAACAAAAGTAGCAGATACTTTGGATAAAAAAACAAGATAAAGATGATGAAATATGACGGTAGGAGACAAAGTTAGAAATGGGATATGCAGTAACACACGACCGAATACCTTTACGGAGAGCAATAGGCAAATCATCAGGTAAAGGCGTTGGATCCGAAGACTCTGAAGGAGATGGAGGGAGCAAAGTAGGCGGTCAAGGTCGTCGAGTATAAACCTGCAAAGGGACAACAAAGCGAGGAGGTGCGGAAATAGGAAACTAAGATGGAACCGTTGACATAGGTGGCTCAGAAGTAATATCGAGAGGAGTAGTAGAATCAGAAAAATATGGGAGAGACTCAGAAAATGTTACATCAACACTAGTGAAATAGCGTTGAAAATGAGGACTGTAACAACGATAGCCCTTCTGAGTGCGAGAATACCCAAGAAAAACACACTTAGTGGCACGAGGGTCGAGTTTATCAAGACCGGGTCCAAGGTTATGGACATAACACACACAGCCAAAGACTCGCGGAGTCAAATTAAATGATACGGAGTCGGGAAATAGAACAGAATGAGGAGATTTACCGTTTAACACGGATGAGGGCATTCGATTAATAAGATGACATGCCGTAAGAACGGCATCACTCCAAAATCGTTTGGGAACATGCATATGAAATTAAAGGGCACGACAGACTTCCAGAAGATGACTATTTTTACGTTCAGCTACTCCATTTTGTTGCGGAGTATAAGTACAAGAGGATTGATGAATGATGCCTTTAGCATGAAAATAAGTCTCGAATGGGTCCGAGAAATATTCTTTGGCATTGTCAGAACGTAAAACTTTAATGGAACACCCAAATTGAGTTTTTATTTCTTTGCGAAATATTTTGAAAATAGAAAACAACTCAAAACGATTTTTCATTAAAAACAACCAAGTCATCCGAGAATGATCATCCATAAAGGTCACAAAATAACGAAATCCATTAATAGAAATATGTTTTATTGGTCCCCATACATCTGAATGAACTAATTGAAAAGGACTAGTAACACGATTATTAGCCCTTGGTTTGAAAGATACACGACAATGCTTACTAAGCTGACATGTTTCACAAGACATGGACTCAACACGACTAAGACCGGGGACTTAACGCTGCAGAACTGATAGTGATGGGTGGCCGAGACGACAGTGCAACTGGAAAGAAGACAAAGATGATTGTAGAGCCGTGGGAGATGGTGCAAGATCGAAGTAATACAAGCCACCTACTTCATGTCCCATACCAATCCTCTTCTTCGTCTTGAGATCCTAAAAAAGACAACATGTGGGATAAAATGTAACAGAACAGTGAAGAGATTTAGTAATTTTGCTGATGGACAACAAATTAAAAAGGAATTGAGGAACATATAACACAGAGGAAAGGGACATAGAAGAGGTAAGATGAATAGTTTCCAAACCCAAAACTTTAGTTGATGATCCATTAGCAAGAGTAACATTTTGAGAGGAAGGAACAGACTGAAAATCAGATAAGAAATGAGAACTACTAGTCATGTGATCTCATGCGCTAGAGTCAAGAATCCAGGGACTCTGACTAGAGGACAAAAGACATGCAGGGGCACTACCTGATTGGGCCAAGGACCCCATGGAAGATGAGGTGGAAGGCCATTGTTGAGACAGAAACTGAGCATACTCATCGCGGGGAATCGTAACCATAGCAGTCTTAACAGCCACATGTGGAGCAGTGGGTGTGTCAGAGAGAGAAGAATTCCCATCATTAGAAGTCACTTGATGTGCATAGGAAGAAGGTGGTGGTTTCCCATGAAGATCCCAACAGTAATTGACAGTGTGATTAGTAAGACCACAGCGAGTGCAAAGTTTTGAGTCTCGGCCTCTACCTCGACTACGGCCACGGCCACGAGTAAAACGACCACCACCACCACGAGAAGACTGAAAGCCACCCTAGTTCACAACTAAGGCAGAACGTTCACTGCTATGAGAAGCAGTGACACCACAGGAAGCACCTCCTGAAGCGCCACTAGATAAAGTGGCACGCTGGAGTCTAGATAACATATCAGGTAGAGAGGGAAGTGCAGGGCTCCCCAAAATCTGTGCACGAACAGGTTCATACTCTTGTGACAATCCTGTGAGAACCCGAACAACATTAAAATCCTCACGTTGCTGCTGCATGCTTTTCACATCAGAGGTGATGGGTTGATACATATTCATTTCTTCACAAAGTCCCATTGCCCGTGAGAGGTATTCCTCTAAACTGTGAGTCCCTTGCTGGAGATCAAAAAATTGTCTACACACCTCATAAATTCTGGTTATATTACCAGCACCGGAATATAATTGTTGGAGTCGGGTCCATATCTCCTTGGCAGTGTCCAAATATAACAAGTTGGAGCTAATATGAGATTCAATACAATTCAGCATTAAGGACATGATCTGAGCATCCTTTTGTTCCCATGAACTGAAATCAGCATCACTACTTTTGGGTTTATCCTGAACCAAATGAGCACCAAAGCCTTTGACTTTCAAGAAAATGTCCACTGACTTGGCCCATAAGATGTAATTTTTTCCATTAAGCTTGACTGAAGTCATGGGAGGATTGAAGGAACTAAAAGATAACAGGTCTGAACTAGAAGCCATAGAGAAGATAAAAAAAAAAAATAGACGAACATGGGAAAAAAAAAAAAATGCAGAATCGGCAATCGGGTCGGATCTGGAAACTGGGTTGGATCTGGGCAACCGGGTTGGATCAGAACCATGTCTCTGCTATCCCGGTTTTAGTAAACTAGGGTTGGAATAGCATAGCCGCGTAGCCAAACAAGGTTATTCTTCTTCACAACCACCAACAGACTCCGGCAAGCACACAGCGGCGACACCACACCGAATCAGAACCTCCACAACTTCCGACCAAGAAAAAGGACGAATCGATGAAGCCTCACCTCTGCAAATGACGGTTGATGTCGGCGAGCTTGTTGACGATCAACACGGCAACAACATAAGCGGCCAAGGGGCTTCAAATCTGACGGCGACGAAAGAGGCTGCAGATCTGACAACGACGACTACGGGCTTCAGATCTGACGGCGACGAAGGACGATGACGACTACAAGTGATCTTCTTAGCGTACCGGTGACAAGAACTTCCGGCAGAGACACCAAAAACACACTCGCGATTCCAATCGCGAGTCCAATCTCATACAAGGGCAACACACTTATCGTTTCCCACACCCATGAATCTATATTGCTCTGATACCATGTTCAGATTCATGAGAGATAGAGAGAGAGAGAGAGATGTATATTTTGTGTACTGTATTCAGCCTTCTCTTGTGAGGCTTATATAAAGAACAAGGGTTATACACCCTAATTACACAATATTGCTTAATTACACAATAAGCCTAACTACTATGGGTAATTACATTAGGACCCAATATTATGGAGGATATAAACATTCTAACAGACCCATTCTGGCTCTATAAGCAAATTGAGCTCCAATGATGGACAAGTAACTCATCTCTTTTTCAGATGCTACAGGATAATGAGATTTTCCTAACTCTTTCTCATTGTCACTGCATGAAAGTTAATTGATCCTATTTTCCACTTCTATGGTAGATGCTTAATTAACCCTTCTTATTTATTTATTTTTAATTTTTTTTTTTTTTTATTAAGTTATTATAATGACGCGTCATGTTTTATATTAGGTGTGTCCCATAAAAAGCTATAGTATTTAAATGTAGCAGTTGCAAAACACCTGAGCTCTGTTTACTGAATGTCAACTGTGCCAAACCTGAGATATAAAAGCTTTCTAGGAGCAGATGCTATGGTCAATAAATGAAGCTTAATATGAATCTGTCACACTGTGAGTATGTCTTGTTGGTAAAATTAATTGGGCTTAGGTGTTTTGCAACTGCTACATTTAAACCTAAAGTTCTTGATATGATTTCATGGGATGAGATATATCATAAAATTACCCCCTCCTCTTCGGATGGAAAACTTTCTAACCATTGATTTTGCAGATTTTCAATGAATTTAATGCTCGGAAGCCTGATGAAATTAATGTTTTCATGGGAGTCACTAGAAACAGTCTCTTCATGGGGATAGTGGGCCTAACTCTTGTTTTTCAGGTCTCCCTCTCCCTCACACACACACACACACTCTCTCTCTCTCTCTCTACTGGTTTTTACTTGCATGATTTAACATATCTTCTTGTCTTTATTTATCAGGTCATTATAATCATGTTCCTTGGAAAATTTACCTCAACAGTTCGGCTTAGCTGGAAACTATGGCTTGTTTCCATTGCAATTGGCTTTTTCAGGTTAGTTTATTACTACTGGTAATTTTGATATTAATGATATTCTTCGAGTCTTCTGAGATGTAGTTGGAGCATTCTAAATGACCAACCCTTGATTACACCTCCCCTAACCCCTTATTTCCACGCTTGGGATGTACCAGTATTGCTCATCATTAATTTGTTCATTTCAACTGCAAACATCATAAGCCTTTGTTCTACTACTACTACTCATACAATAATAAGCCTTCTAAAAGTAATTATATAATGATGAGTTGCTTTCTTTTTTCACTTGGAACCAGTTGGCCTCTTGCGATGATTGGGAAATTGATACCTGTCCCAGAGACGCCCTTCTGTGAACTTTTCACAAGAAAAGTACATCGACACAGATCTTCTTGAGGTATAAACCTGCTACGTTGTATTTTAGATTATTGAGAATCAATTGATATGCTTGTGTCTGCTGAGTGATTCACATATCCTTTTACATTTTTTATTCTCTTCTATAGGTCAACATAAGGAACGAAAGGAACAAGGCTACTGTGTGACATCTACATGTTCAATATCTAAACTACTGCTTTATGAGGTTTATTATTATTATTATTATTATTATTAGAGAGAGATTATTATATAGGCATGGTTGTCAATGGATCTTTCCAAATTAACTTACAGTACTGAACACCTGATACGTCATGTATGTTATACTCCCATTTTTCAAGGTTTTTGCATTTTCAATTTTTGTGCTTCCTTTTGAACAAAAAAATGTTTGGGTACTTAAATCTTGTTCTTTATTGAAAATGTGTACTTGTTTGTGATTATGAAACTGAAGAATGACAGCAATGAGTCGCTCCAATTTTAATAGAAACTTCATAGAAATTGATAAACATGATGGAATCGCAATTGTTCTTGGCTGAACTATAACTAGATCTCATCAACGGAATTGTTCTTGACTGAACTATCACTACCTACTAACCATTGTCAGGAAAAATAAAAAATTAATTTACCGCATTTAGAAGCACATTTACATTTTTATCCATATAAAAAAGAAAAAAAAGAAAAAAAGAAAAAGAAAGAGATTGATAGGATTTGAATGTCAGAAGTTTAATTCTTCTTCCTACCACAGACCAGTAGTTTACAAGTTATAAACAAATTCCATTTTTTTAATCTTTTTTTTTTTTTTTTTTTTTGATAAATTATCTAAATAACTAGCGACTCCCGAAGTTTGAAGCCTGGTGTGCCTGTTACACCCTGAAGAGAATGGCGATAAATCATCCACTTCAAAGTTTGAAGGACCTAAACTAAATACACCAAAACTAAAGGTCAGAAATAGTTTATTTTTATTTTTATTTTTATTTTATTATTATTATTATTTTTTCCTTCAATTCCAAGACACCAATTTCACATAATGACAGGTAAACAATCAAAAGCTTTGAACCACTAATTGCATCTAATTAACTCAAAACATGAATATGACATCCTAATGCACAATGGTCAGCTCAGCAAGCCAAATCGATAATTGCAATTACAGAACAAAAGGAAAACTTATCTGCAATATGGATCTTACAGCACCCTAAATATGAAAACGTGAATCATGCGTCTGGGAGCTACAAAGAAGAAATTCAAACCAAACTGCCTAACTTCAGCCAGTATGAGCAGCATTGTGAATGTATGCTGTATGCCATGACACCTAAAAAACACAAACGAATGGAAGTTGCAAAAAGACAAGGTTAACACGTGATGTAGCTATGATAACTCATCCCGGACCATCTCAATGAGACCCGAGTTTCATATGATAAGCTTTTTCCCCAATCAATTAGCTCTCATTGTCACAGAACCACCTTTAAAGGTCCATACAAGAATCAGTCCTGGGACTCTGAACTAATTTTACATCTTTTTAAACACGGGCAGGCGATAGTGAAATAGCCTCATCATCATCACTGAAGAATAACCGATCGCCACTGTCAATTGTAATAAAGTTCAAAAACGCAATTCTCCGTGAGATCCAAGGATCACACAAGATGCATTCCAATAGGATGGACAAAAGGTAAAATATTCAGGCACTCTGTATAGATGATAATATCTACATCAATTAGTGAAGTTCCAACAATGGAGTTACCTTAAAAAAAAACCACCCTCTAGACTGGTCCATCCTCATAACAATTACTAAGTCGCAGACATTCAAAAAGTCTGTTCCTTGAGTTATACATATTTGTGCTGCATTTGCAACTCAAAACAGTTAATGACTTTACTGAGCTCAACCATTATTATTTTTTCCACTCCACACATCCAAGACGAGGTAAACAATTAGGTCTCCAAATTCTTTTTTCTTTTTAAAATACAACAGTGTACTAGCTTAAACCAAAGAGAAATAAGACTCAATGAACCACCTCTAAACGTTTTGGCTTAGAACAAAAAGATTCTTTCGAACGCAATGGAACCAAAGCCCTAGGTTTAGACTTTTATAGAGAGCAAACTTCAGATTGAGAGAGAGAGAGAGAGAGAGAGAGAGAGAGAGAGAGAGAGAGAGAGAGATTTATTTAGTCATGCAATTGATAACTATATCATTGTTGATTTGTAAAAATCTAGAAACTAGCTACACGTCCTTCAACGTAGTGAAAAGATTTAAATAACCAGATAATATTAGACGAAAACAACTATAAATTTTAACACACTAATTTATGAAATAATGTCGCTTTCATCCACATTTGCAAAGTAAGCAAATTGTTAGTTCATCTCTCCATAATGCAGCACTTGTCGACCTATCACATAAGAAGGTTAGCTTTACGAGGTTCTACAGGACATTGAATAAAATTGAAGGTTAGCTTTACGAGATTCTACAGGACATTGAATATCAAAATTCCATACTGGGAGCATCATTTCATAAAGAAGTGTAAAACATATTAAGCAGTTGAGAACATCAAAAGAGCCAAATCTCATAAGCGACACAGAAATAACTTGCATCAATAGAAAGCACCAACCCTCCCTCCCTTGCAACTTCCACTTTTAAGTTAAATCAAAACAACAAGAAACCATGAGTGACTCTCTAACCCTAACAACATAACGTAGAAGGAATAAGACCTTTCTTTATATATTTTTTATGTGTTGGTCAGTTTGGGACAATCAACAGCCAAATTTGTAATTTTCATTTTTCACATTCCACTTGGTAGCTGTCTAGCTGAGAAAGCAAATAAGCATATTTGAAATCCAGATTTTTCATTTTATTAACACCAAAAACCTCCATTAAATGAATCCAAATGTGATTTTATGCCTTACCTAAGCTCAACCAGTCACTTTTCTTTTTCTCCAAATCCAAACCAACATAAACAACTAGAATTCCACTTTTTTTTTTCCCTCAATTTTCTGAGGCAAAAGGGGAAACAAAACAGAGGGTTATTAAAAAGCACCCAGCTTTCGTATCACCAGCAAACTGAAAATAAACAAACCACAAGTGATAGTATTCATAAAAACTCAACTTTCATTCCGTTAAATTATAAAATCAGATCCATAATTTCATACAAAACCCAATTCCATAAAATTCAAAATCTTCCTCAGAGCTAAAAACCCGACAGAACATTATGATGAATAATTCAATGAAGATAAGCAGGGATCTTAATACGAATAAAAAGCATACTCATCACATACGCAATAACGACTGAGGAGATTCCTGCGGTGGCGAAGGAGACCTTGACGGACTTGGCGCGGTTGCGATCGAGCGCGAGATCCATGAGCACAATGCCGATTCCACCGAGGACGAACATGAAGCCGGAGGACAGACCCTCGATGATGTACTGGCCGTTGACGCGGCCAGGGAGGAAGACGACGGGGCGGACGGCGCCGGTGTGGCGGTCCTGGGTGGAGCCGATGCCGGGGGGCTCGACAATGACGTCGTAGATGATGCCCGAGATGACCATGAAGTAGGTGAGGAGGAGGAGGGCGAAGACGGTCATGGCGGAGGGGAGGGTGAGGGAGGGGATCTTGAGGCGGAGACGAGGGACTCGGAGGAAGCTGTAGGGGAGGATCCTGAGGATGTGAAGGATTGGGTCGATTGAGTCCATTGATGAATCAGATTGGAATGATGAAGAAGAAGAGGAAGTTAGGGTTTCTGATTTGGGGGCCATTTTGGGTGGAGTGAGCAAATGGGGTTTCTCAATTATACTTGTACTTGGGGTTGGGGGGGTCTTTCTTGTGTTTGGACTTTGCTGTGGAGTGTACTGTATTTTCAAGTTTTCAAAATGGTAACTTATTTTTCCTTATTTTTTCTTTTAAATTATTTTAATAATATGTGAAATTGTACATAATAATAAAAGAGTACTGTTAGCATAGCTATTAGATGTGAGCACTCTTATTTAGTAGTAATCAGTTTATTGAGATGGGTAAAAAGTTAAATAAGTTATTTAATGATTAATTTAAGTATATAAAATTATAAATAATACTATAAAAGAGTAATGTTATTATAGCTATCAGATGTGAGCACTCTTTATTTGATAATAGTCAATTTATTGAGATTGGTAAAATATTAAATAAATCATTTAATAATTATCTCATAATAATAAAATTAGTTGTTTAAAATTTACGTATGTGACCCGGTGGGAAGGGTTTTTTTGGATCGAAGCATAAACTAAAATGCTGAGTTTTATTACCATAAGATGTAAAAATATGTATATTTGCTCAAAAAGTATATAGCTCATATGTTCAGTGTTAAATGCTCCTGAGCCTAATATAAATATGAAATAATTAATGAGAAAATTAATCCTTTAAAAACATCCTCACTTTTTTTTTTAGGTAAATCAATTCGTTGACTTGAGGAAAAAGCTATACAGAAAAACAGACCAGCCCATAAACATGGCAAGAAAAGGCCTGAAAGCCCAGCACAAAACTGGAACAACTACAAACAAAACAAGACCCAATAAAAAGCCAGCCCAAGATACCAACTGAGACAGTTGCACCAACCGAAAATAGAAACATAAACTAGTGAAAGTAATCAAGATTCAAGGATCAAGGAAGGAGATTCATGACTTGTTCATGAATATCTGTTCATAAATAGATTATATATTATTTCAAATTGCTCTTACACTCCAAAGTGACCTTTTTTCAGTTTTCTTTCCTTGTGAAATGTACATATTCATTAGTATTTATATACACACCAACCGACAACTGTGGGTATGTACAGGTGATATATATAGAATTTTTTTCCTGATCTAACTAGTACTTATACATTTTATATGAGCCTGTTCCATACACCCCCATGGCCAAATGAAGAATTGGAAAAGTAATAACTGGATCTCTTGCCGTATCGAACCAATTCGGAAAACTGGCATCAATTGGCAGACACGAAAGAACAAATTTACTAGCACAATCCAGTTGAAGTTTGAGCATATTAACTATTAAGCAAATAAACAAAGTAAAATCCTGCAAACAACATGTGAATCTGCAATTCAACCTGTTTTGTGGAAGAAAATCTGAGGTACCCGTTAGAGGCTTGGAGCTGAGACGATGCAGTGCCTAAGGAAGTTGACAACAATTAGAAATAAAAGAAGATGCCACCTGCGATTCAAACTAGGTCACCTGCGATTCAATACCGTGCCCATGGTAGCCGAGACGATTCCATGATTAACAAGCAACAGATGTGTGCATCCACTGTTTAAATTTTTTTTTTTTTTTTGGGTAAATGGTAAGCTTATCCACTGTTCAGAGTTGATTCTCTTTTCTTCTCTTTTTATTGAATTCTTACTTCATTTCTAAATGAGTAAAAAATAGCATTTATAAACAAAATATAGTAGAATTTGAAAGAAAGATTAAAACTACATACTAGAAATAATGTTTTTCACAATTCAGTTCTAATTAGACATCCCAAGAAAATAAAATATCGAAGTTCTTACTAATGATCTTGCACTTCTTGGCTCAATATGCCCACTTATCAAGTCTTGGTCTTCCAGAACAAAATACAATCTGTAGCAGGATAGAAAGCCAATTGCACTCTGTGGATGACCAACTAAGAAGCCCTCGTAACGAAGAAACAATTTGGTGATCATAAACACTAAAGTTATACTAATCAGCAGGAAAATCTTTAATTGGATGCATTTTTTCTCTGCCCTGATTTCTGCTTTTTCTTGGCAAGGATTTGCTTAGAAGTCCTTTTTTTCAGTAAGTAAAGGGATTTTCTTAGATTTCTTCGGGGATCCTTTCCATGTCTTAGTAAACAGATGCTTGTACTTCTCCAACACTCGTTCCTTCTCTTCAGGTAAACCTAACATCTCATATGCATCAGCTACTCTCTGCACTGTTGATTTTTCAAGGGGTTTACGATTAAAAGCTTCCAGGCGTTTGAAGAGATTTACAAGATTCTCTAGCATGTTGTTTCGATAATATACAGATATCATAAGATCACATAACTTCCAAGGTACTGAATGTAAATCACTACCAATTTTTTTAACCCAAAAAACGTGTGCTTCTTCTGCCCTGTGGTCCATATCTAATGCTCGAATCAACTGCTCATATGTTCCCATTGTGGTGCCCTGCCCCTTGCTTAGCATCCATTTAAGAACCTGAATAACTCTATGCCATTGTTGCTCTTTCTCAAGAAGAAGCAATGCCCTCTTTAGCGGCCCAATAGGGAAGTTCTGCTCCCATGCAACCCAGGTATCCATTGCACCGTACACTTCTTCTTTACTATCCTTGAGATCAAGAAGTGTGTTAACAAGAAAGTTAATCTTATCCTTTCTTGACACATTCTCTCCAATCTGGTGCTTGCGTACACCTCCGGCATCCTTGCCTGATTGATCCTCTGGTGATGACATTGTACTTACATTTCTTTGCATGGCCATTTGAGCCTGCACCATAGTACTGTAACTGCAATTAAGGGTCTGAACTCTAACCATTCCAAGTTGAGTGATTTGTCTGACCAGTTTAGCCATTGCAGCTGATCTTGACATTGCCATCGACTTGCCGTCAATGTTAAGAAATCTACAGGATGGAAGTGGTTTATAGAGTGAACATGGCAGAAGGATATAGGAGAGAGACCTGAAACAAGGCCAAAGGTTAGTAACAAGTGTAGTTAAGTTCGTATTACTGTTTGAATTACTCAGCGAAATTCTGTCACAAACATAATGATGCACCAGAAGGAACTTTTCTGAAACAATCCAATTAAATTTAATGATAATTTAGATAGAGATATCAGACATTTTGATTTCAAATTGTCATTGCAACCAGAAGGACCCAACCCCTACAAATTTGAAGCAGGTGGAAATAAAATCAATGTAAACACTATATTTCAGAAAGAATCAGGTAGATTATCCCACAGGAGAATTAAGATATTTTCTCTAACTAAACCTCTCAGTAACGAACCTATCCACCGTATCTGAATCTCTATAAGGCTACACAACCCAAACAGGCAACGTTGACCAAAACCCCTGAACAGCTGAACCCGCCACTATTTGGCCAGTCTCAACCTCAACGCAAAACCCTCTGACTGTAACCCCTCAACACACCACCAAGAGGCAATCCTAAGAATTAACCATCTCCACAATCACTATTCACTCAGCACAAACAGCACCTCTAAGGCATTTTCACGAGCACCATACATACATACATACATAGATACATAAAAACCCACCACCATTTGGCCAGTCTCAACATCAACTCAAAACTCTCCGAGTGTAACCCTCAACACACCACCAAGAGGCAATCCTAAGAATTAACAATCTCCACAATCACTATTCACTCAACTCAAACAGCACCTTTAAGGCATTTTCACGAACACCATAAGTACATACATAAAAACCCACCACCATTTGGCCAGTCTCAACATCAACTCAAAACTCTCCGAGTGCAACCCTCAACACACCACCAAGAGGCAATCCTAAGAATTAACAATCTCCACAATCACTATTCACCCAACTCAAACAGCACCTCTAAGGCATTTTCACGAACACCATAAGTACATACATAAATACCCACCAATCCCAAACAATCACCATCAAAACATCAATGCCAAAGCACAGAAATAAATAAAGAATACTAAAATAAAAACAAAACACGCAATTAACTCCAATTACATTCTCCGTTACATCAAATGTCAGGAACATATCAAGTTTCTCTATCACGTTCAGCATTAAATAATCAAACACTCCAGCATAAACTTAAAAAATCTCCTAATAAAGCTCAAAAATATAAGGAATCCAATCATAAGACACCAAAATTAGTCTAAATTAGAAAACAAAAATCAGTAAAGAAAATAATATCTAACCTTCGGTTTCTGGCGAAATCAAAATTCTTAAAGAAGTTCCAGCGATGGTGAAGCAAACCTTGTAGTGCTTCAATGCCACTTAAACCCAGATGGGCCTTAGGGCATGCAGAACCTTTAGCCCCTTCAGTATCCTGCCATTTCTTTGGACTGGGCCTGTCCAAGATGGATCAAATATCCAATATTCGTCACTTTTATTCCAACCTATTTTAGCTGATCATTAAATGGATTAGGATAAAAAATTAAAACATAATAACAAAAGGAACTCTACAAACTATATTCATTAAACTAACTAATATTATTGAGAAGTCGTCTTTTGAAAAAAATTAAGATTATTTTACCTTTGTCTTTGTATGGATCGTGAATTTTTCAACTAAGTTAAGAGGTCATTTCAACTCATTTTTTTACTTTTTGTTAAAAGAATATAATGCCAAAAGAGATTGTCAAATAATAATTAGAAAAAAGAAAAAGATAACACTCAAAGAAGTCAAATAAAAAATGAAAAAAAAAAAAAAAAAGAGAGTAGAAAATTAGGTGTTTGACTCTTTGTTAAAAAGAAAAAAAGTAAGAAAGAATCGAGAGAGGGAGGAAGAGGGAAAAAATAATGCTAAAAACATTTTGATATCATGTAAATAATATATACAATAAAATTAGACAATCAATTTATAGCATATAATTTTATTATATCATGTCGGATGGATCCATCATAATGCATATCTGGTTTGCTAGCTAATAGATTCTCGGATTCAGACTATTCAGACTATTCAGTTCATTAAAATTGAAAGAAAGAATGGAGACAGGGAAGAAGAGAAATAAAATGCCGCAAACATTTTGATACTATGTAAATAGTATGCAGTACAGAATTAGATAATATATTATATTATACCAGATCAGGTCATTATTAGAGACCAGTCAGAATGCATATCCAGCAAACAGATTATTGATTCCAATCATTAACAAATTATCGGATCAAATGGCCAACCTAAATTCAAATTATCGAATCAAATACAGATCAAAATATAACCGATTGACAGGTTTAATCCTGAACGTGTTTTAAGATAGACTTAGGGATGGTAATGGGGCGGAGTTGGGATGGAGTTGGCTAAACCCTACTCCGCCCCATTAAAAAATTCGTCATACCAATTCCGTTCCAATTTCGAGACGGGTTTATAATTGGTATACCATCCCTGCTCTTATTTCGGTAGACAAAATACCAACTCCGCCCCGCATATTCCGTTTAATTACGGTAAAGTTGAAACACGTGCACAATTGTAGAATTTTAGTAAGTAGTAATTCTAGCGAATATTTAGTCAAAATATATTAATGGACACTTAAATTAAATATATACTTTATTTATATATATATATATATATATATATATATATATAATCTGGGTCGGGGCGGGGCTGGGGTGGGAGCATCACTAAATCCGCCCCCGCTCCAAACCAGCTTCGGATTTTCAATTTTTTTACCATATTTATCCCAAACCCATTTATGAAGCTACCAAATCTGCCCCATTAGAAGCGAAACGGGGCGAAAACCCAGCGCGTTGGAGGAAATTGCCATCCCTAGATAGAGTAAGGTATCAAACACAATCCCTCTTACATCGGCTTTGTCCTATTTATTCAGAAAGAGAGTAAAGCTACAATGATATGCACCTCATTATAGCACTTATGAGCTCTCCAATTTTCTACCTTGATTACATACAAATTTGAAAGGAAGATTTATCCGTCCGTCGTAAAGAGAACAACATGAGCACGAGGATTATATAGTTAAAATTTTGTAAAAATCATTAACAGTATATTACACTTCAATCAAATATATATATTTACCAAACTGAACCGTCACATTTGACTAGCTCTTATTATTTTATTTTAAGATAATTTGATATTCCTTTTCTTATGATAAGAGTGTTTAAATATGAGCAACTTGGTAATGTGATTCGTCTTTGATTTTTTTGTACTTAGAACATGTAAATTTACACTAAAACGAACGAAAATTGCCGGGCAATTCTTCGAGTCCTTTTGTTTAATGAAGACATGTCTAAGGAACTGAGAAGATGTATATGTTTACTGCAAGTACAACCAATCCACGACTTAAATACAAAACACCGTTTCGCTGTCCACGTGAGAACTGTGTATGTTACAATAATGTAGAACAATGATTTGAATAAAAACACAAATGAATTATATATATGTGTGTGCAGCACCTTCTGTAGGGTTTGTCCCTTACGTGAAACTTTAAGAGGCATTCATAATACTAAAATAAATGAAGATAAATTTGAAATTTAATTGATACGGTTAAAGGTGACGTGTGTACATTAGGCTAACACTTATTTATATACGGAAGATGTAAACAATCATATGTGTGGTGAATTATTATTGTAGTTTTAACTTTTATCTTAATTATAAGTTTGAAATATTACATTGAATCATATGATATAGCTTATGACGTCAGTAAAAATTCAACTCCTTTAACTATATATGACCTATGTTTAAAGATGCAATGATTTATACGATTGGATAGATATCAAAGTAATCGGGATTCTACGTAGAATCGTTTTGGGGGTCCGTAAAATTGGATCGTGAATTGTAAGATTCTACCAACCTAATAAAAATACAACTCGAACTAGCTTTCTAAAAAAAAATTATATTTAAAATAAATAGAGAATAAACAAAAAAAAAACACAAGAAAACATATAAAAGTACATTATATTTATATATATTAGGGAATAAGTTCATATAAAAATATTCAAATAGAATTTTTTTTTTTTTTTTTTTTACTTTTTTATTTTCCTTTGTTGGTTAAAATATGATTGGTTACATATTAGTTATAATAGACACTGCTACATAATATAGTGCCTCTAATATGACAGTAAGTAAACAAATTTTAGTTCAAGTGTTTTGACATCTCTCGTCTCTCTCTGGCACAATTGCGAAATCAGCCGAGACCTAAAGATCAGCGACAGCTCCTCTCGTCTTTCTCAGTTAAGCTCTTTTAGTCTCTTGTTACCTCTCTCTCTTCTTTTTCTTCTTCTTCTTTTGTGCTGGATCTGATTTGTCGCGATAGAAAAGGTGTTGAGTGTGCACAGCGGAATGGTTGTGGAATATAATACATGGATAGATAATCTAGAGAGATGGTAAATAGATTCAACTTGCTCTTTTATCCAATTTTTACTTATTTTAATTTTACTAAAATAAAACTAAAATCAAACCACAAAGCAAAAATAAAGTGCAAGTAAAGTAAATAGAGTTCGAGAGATGACACTAGGATTTTATCGAGGTAACTTCAATTGGTAGAATAAACCAATTGTAACAGGAAAAACCTCGTTGGACTCTCCAGTCCTGAGATAAACGATCCACTATGTTTGAAGTAAAGTATACCGAACTTTGACTCAGTCTCACACCCTATCGTTATACCAAAAACCAATTGCTGACAATCCCTGGCTTTGCGACTCCCCCGTCCAACAGCTTTCGACCTCAGGCTTACTCTCGATCTCTGTAGAAGAGTTGCAGGTAGATCAGATAACACTCCATGAATGCTCTGACCCCTTCAAAGTGTGATCGCTTCACCCCTTTTCTTCTAGATCTGAATTTGACGAAGAATGAATGAATTATGCTTTTCCGGAATTTCTGAATCTTCAATTATGCTTCAATTCCGATGAGATAAAGAACAACACTCCTAAATCACTCTTGTGTTTATGTGTGTGCTCTCAAAAATAAAATAAAAAAAAATCAGATTGATTTTTTAAAGGAATAAAAAATATCTCTCAAAAAGGCTCTCAAGTAGATCTGTATTTTTTATGCAAAAGCCACTAATAAAAATATCTCTCTAAAGGCTTTCTTAAAATATAGAATTGATGTTCCTTAAAGCCACGAATAAACCAATGTATATGACAAGGTTTATATAGAGTTTAGAAAGTCCTAATCCCTCATAAAATAAGATAAAATTCGTGCATAGGATTTGGTACAATTCTAGACCAACTAGGAGAGAAATCTGAAACAGGAAACTAAACTTTTCATAGGCTATCAGGACTCTTGAACCTGTTCAAAGAATTTGGAACAGGTTCAAGGATGGCAGAATGTATTTCGAGGCCAATGTTGAAGACTTGAACCTATTCAAAGAATTGGGAACAGGTTCAAAAATGAAAGAATGTTTTCTAGGCCAAATTCAAATGGCTTAAACCTGTTCCAAGAATCATGAACAGGTTCAAATCTGCCAGACTTGATTCCTAAGGTTTTAGGCACTATTTTTGGTATATTCTGAAACTTACCAAACATGGAATGTGGCCTAACCTTTTTAGATTCCTTCCTAAAGTATTATTCTTACCTGTCTCGAATGATCTCAGTCATGGTAACTTTGAACAACCTTCTAATTCCGCAGTTGCTGTCGATCTGGATATGGTAACTTGAATTACAACTCGACAAGGACTTGTTTTGACACTGAAAGTTGCCAATTACAGAATATATATTTTTTACAATCTTCCCAATATATATATATCTTATAATCTCCCCCTTTGGCAATTTCGTAAAAAAACCCTAAAAACAACATATAATCTACTTAAGCAGAAAAAACAAATTACAATGATTGTCAAAGAAATAAAGTGGAACTCTTCTTGAACGTCATGAAGCTTCAATACATGTAGCAACCTGTAATCTACACATTAGCTTAACAAAACTACCCGTGAAGCTTAATCAAGAAAGATAAACAATCAACATATATCAATATGTGAATATCAATGTATATGTATCTTCCTCTCAATTCTAGAAACTCTTCCCCTCAATTATGCACATTCTCCCCCTTTTTGTTACAAATTGACAAATAAAGCTCAACAAAGAAGGAAAAGAAATAATGTGGAAGAATTAACAAGAAAAAAAACTAAAAGGAAAATCTTTTTGGATTTTTTTTCATTTTTCAATTTTTTCATGTTTATGATATTTTAACAAAAAAATATGAAATAGTAATTTCTATGAATTTCAAGCATATATGAGATCTAAAAATTTTTGAAGAATTCAAGAGAATTCTAAAACACAATTTTTAAATCCCACAAATTATTCAATCAAATCAATTCTCAAGCATACAATCACAACATGAAATTCAACTTGTAATTTTTATAAAAATTTAGAAATTTGTCTAGCAAGTTCA